CAGGAGTCACATCATGCCTGTGCTCTGCACACTGTGAATGAAGAAAATCAGGTGATGTTAGGGAAGATATACTTAAGACATGGGACAGAACAAGGCCCAATTACATATGGACATTATTAAGGTTGTGAAGACAGGAATTAAAAAAAATTGACAATCTTAAATTTGAAGTTGTCTGTGCAACTGTGATTCAAATCATCTAAACATAGAAATGAACATCCTGACTGGGCCAGAACAAGAATCCCTTCAGATCCTGCAGTACTTCATGACTGGCTAAATCTTGAGAAAATGTGAAGCCTTAGTAAACAATGTGATCTGAAAATCTGCAAAAAGAAAGTTTTTATCAGTTGAAATATTTCACTTTTATTTCACAGAGTGTTTTTTTCTTTTAATTTAACCTGTTTGTATTCTATGGTTTTCTAATGAAAAATATTTCCTGTTAAAAGAATTACTTTCCATTCTAAAAAAGTAAACCCTAGTTGTTTCTAAAATATCTAAAGGCTTTGTTTCGGTTTGGTTTTGTTTTGTTTGGGTTTTTTTTTGTGTGTTTTTTTTTTTCTTCACAGACTGTTGTTGAATTAGGAACTCACCCTGCTCCATAAACAGTTTTGATACATCAGTATTTTGTGATTTCTTAAAAACTTCTTGATCCATTCCAGGAATGATGCAGTAGTCAATCACATGCCTACGTTGTCATTTTTCTACAGGATTCTATCTATATTCAGTTCAGTGGCATTGTCCAATGCTCAGTTAATGATAGTCTAGTTGATATTTTGCTAATCTTTATCATTTCCTGTAGCTTTACAAATGTCAGTTTATCCCCATCGTGATTTCTCTCTATGTCAGATCCAGTCTGTGTGCCATGTTTCTGTGTCATTACAAGACTAGACTTTATCAAGACATGATGGGACCAAAGTAAGCCAGCGCTGATAACCTATCATTTCATGCTTTTTTAACAGCTGATTTTGCACCCTTATGCTATAATGAAAAGCTTTGTGTATTTGCATGTAGTGTAATTTCCTAGTTCCTTTAAGGGCATCTTTGCTCTGAATAGTGGAGTTCAGGAAAGAGATACTTAATCTGGCACAAATCTAAGCCTGGCATTAGCTCAGGAAAGGAGTACAGCCAATTAATTAGGCACTATGCCCAAGATAATAAGCCTTACATTTTGGATGGACTTTATCTTACCTAAATGCAGCTGTCTAGAAGCAAGGACTCTCATCTGATGTACTCTTCTAGATATCTCTGTAGTCAGGAGCAGAAACAGACGTCTCCAGAAAGCGACAACTGCTATGTTTTAGGCATGTAACGTAGCATGAAAGGGGTCACCTGTTGCCTTGCTCTCCACTAGTGATGGCTGGAATCTACGTGACTTGCCATATTTGACTTGGATACAGCATCTTGGACTGGATATTTAATTTGCAGCTGGCTACAGGAACACAGCACCCACTGGACACAGGGCTGTACTGATTCGACCGCTTGCGTCTACTCCTGAGCTAGTGTAGCTTCCTAGCTTAGAAATCTTTGCTCTACATTCCCTGACTCCATGGTTAACAAAGACATGAAAACTAAGGGAGTGAAGAAATTCTTGTGGCATTACAGCAATACCTGTTAAAATCTTTAGCAGGACTGAAACTTTTAAATATGAGCCTACCCTTCTGCTGCTTGGAGTTGGGGAAAGAAGCTGGAATATAGGTTGTCATCCTTTTGGTGGGGCAGGCCTGGCACAGATGTAATGTGCAAGGATTTTAGTTTCAGTGCAAGTCTCTGCTTAGTATGTGCCAGATAAGCAGGATCTTTCCCCTGCTGTTAGCTTGCTCAATCTAGGCAAATCATTACTTTCACTGTGATGAAAAATGTGTATTCTTAACTTAAAAAACATTATTTCACCAAAATTTCAGGTTCTGCCACACAGCAGAGGTCATAGAGAAAAAGCCATTGCTTTATTTGTTTGCCAGGGACAAAAGTAGCATTCTTAGAAATGGCCAAGTTATTGAAAAGGAAAATAGGGATTGAGGCTTCCATGAAAAGTTTCAGTTTGAATGGTTAAAATTTGAAAAAATAAGTTTACTACAGAAAATGTGGTTGTATAAAGGACTTTTAGGGTAGTCTTAATAATAGCGGTACTCCGTAATGTACATTATATTCAGGGGACCTGTTGGTGGAGGTCACTTTTTAAATCAGACTCCATTAAGCCTATTTAGAGCAACCTAGTTGGTAAAATCTGGCCCATTGTGGTAAGCAGGGCAATTCAGTGCAGGCAGAGCTTTGGCAATAGCTCTCAGCGCCAGCCTGTTGTGCTCAGCACGCTCTCCCTGAGCCTTACCCTTTTCCCCACCAGCTGCCCTGATCCCTCTCGTGGCTTCCCCCTGTTCTTCTCTTTCCATAGGCTCTGCCCAGCTGTTGTTGCCACAGACCCACTGCTGGATCTGCACCGGATTGGGAAGACAAAGCAACTGTTTTCGTGCTTCCATTCAATGTTTTCACGCTTGGGTTCTCGAAACTCCCCCTTAACTTCTCCTCAAGCTCATTTGGTGATTTTCATGCAAGGAATGCAGTATAGCTTGAATTTTACTCATCTACGTGTCATCCTTTCATTTACATGTTTTTTAAAAGAGTAAACGCTTGATAAGCTCTTTACATATCTTTATAACGCACATACTTATTTCCCCATATATTCAAGTTCACCTGTAGGTTCTCTCCCTCTTTCTCCAAGTACAGTCTTCATAAGCCCGTTAAAACGTTATGCTGCGTACTTGACTGAAGGCCTAGAGTCCTGGTGATGTCTCAGTGTTGCTGGATTATCTAATCAAGGACACATGCATGTTAATTTTTCAACCTTAATTTAATTTGACAGTTTTTCTGCCTGTGATGTAAATCTCATGCAGTGGAGTTCAGTGAAACGTTGGCTCCAGAAGTGCGATTGATTTAAGCAAGAACCAGCCATTCGGATTCTAGTTGAACTTCCAGACTAAAATGCATGCTCCATTATGACCCTGTTGTAAACAGTTCAGGGTATGGAATATATCTCGGTCTGTGATTTGTAAAACACTGTGTGATAAGTAAGGGATTTTTAAAATTTGCATTCATTTTTAGCTGGGACTAAGTGAAATACTTTGTGTGTTTGTAGTAGTAGTAGAAAGACGACAGCCAAAACAAATAATCCAAAGGACTGTTCCATGACGGATTGTCCTGGACAACATTTTCCAAAAATGTTACGCGATCATTGGCCTTTGTGTGTAACGAAACTCCTGTCATGAGCCTCCCGCCAAGAAATGCTTGCTCTCACCAGGAGGCTTGGTTCCAAACGAAAGAGGCAAATGTCAAGGAAAGTGAAACGACAGGCCTCAAAATAACTATGATACTTAACCCTATATGGAATCATACATCTTCCAAATTCTGTTGAACCTTACCTACTTGTAGGTAGCCACACCTTTAGCAGGTCCATATATGCCATCAGTGCTATTTCATAGATGGGAGAGCGGGAAAACGTTAGATTTTCTCAACAACGTTAACGCCGGTGCAGTAGGACACACAGACTGCAAGTGTGGGTGAACTAATACAGACAGTATGTTAGTGGTCTGGAGAGCAGGCTAACAGGGTAGTGTGGGGATGGCAAAAGGGACACCAGCTTTGTTATTGCAAGAGCTACCGTTCTAAAGGAGGCATCAAGCAGCAATAAATATGCCTGAGCAATACCAGCAGCTCCTGGCACTGCTGCTTTGGAAGGGAGGGAAGCAAATGCAGGACCAGGAATGGGTCTACCAGTTCAGAGTTTCTCCTTCTTGGTCTTACAGGCTTTCCCAGGACATTGATCATGGGCATTAGGTAGCATTAACAACATTTTTTCGAGTGAGGGAAGCACTGTCCGGCTGGAGGACTGCGACACCAGTGGCTTTTGAATCCAATGGGAATTGACTCAGCAGAGGCCCCATCACCAGGGTCTCCATTCACTGTTGAAAGATAGGTTGTTCTTCCCCCAGTTTCAAGAAGTGCAAATGAAATGTCATGAATCAGCATGTTAACGGGATGGCCCTGCATTGCTGTAAAAATAACCAGTCCATCTATTTTCAGACATAACTTTTTACATTTGCACATACAAGACAGCAGTATGTTTTTTCAGGTCCCAAGCGTGCCCCGTTACAGATGGAAACACCTGTTTGTTTTGGCACACGTCTTTGCCGACACCAGACAACTGGGCATTAAGCAGCTGGAGCGGCTCCTTGCCTTTATGACCCAGGAGGACTATTCTTATCAGGGCTGCTCCCCACAATCCCTTTTGGACCTATACAGAAAAACTGTCTAACCTTCAGAAGCCGTGGCAGAGCACCACACTCTTCCTGCTAGAAGTGGCTCCTCTGGCGAGAGGAGATGCAGGGCAGTTGGAGGCACCTGAGGTAATCCGGGCTGAAAGGCTAAAGACTAAAAGGAAACACATTTGGCCTCAAAACCATCATTTTAAAAC